ACAGAAAACAAGATGGAACAGGGAACAGACTGGTTAAAGTACATTTAAATATGTTGATGTATTCAAGTTGGCATGACCTGATGAAATTCATGCTGGGGTACTTAAGGAACTAGCTGAAGCAATCTCAGAACCATTTGCAATTATTTTTAAGACCTCAGGGAGTATGGTTGAGTTTGCAGAGGACTAGAGAAGGGCAAACCTGGTATCTATTTTTATAAAAGAGAATAAAGAGGCTCCATCAGCCTAGTTTCAATACCGTAAAAGCTATCTAGAGGATAATAGGATAATAAATAGTAGTCAACATAGATTTTTGAAGAACAAATCATGCCAAACCAACCTAATTTCCTTCTCTAACAGGACTAATAGCCTAAAGTAGTAGTTCCCAAACTTTTCAGCATCACACCTTGTTGAGGAAAAAAAAGGAACTGACTGGGGCTGAAAAACAGTCACCATGGACCAGGTTCTTTCTTGGGGGGGAGTTGATGAGGGGAGGGAGAGGGCTGGGTCGCCTCACATCCCCCCTGGAATTTCTTCCCCCTCCCCCAGGGGGATGCACCTCCCAGTTTGGAAACCTATGGCCTAGAGTATGGGCGAAAGGAGTGATTAGTTTAGTCCAAGGCATGCCTCAGGGTCAATGTTGTGGCTTTTGTAAACAAAATACTAAGCTCATCTCTTATTACAGATGAAAATACTTTTCCCTCATCTTCTGACTTTTACTGGTTCAAGTGAGAGAAGAAATCTACAGCAATAGGCTCATGCCTTGACTTGTATATGACATAACAAAAGAAAACAGATTCTGACCACTATGAAATGGCTCATGTAGGCCCCATTGTACATTTTGCTTACTGTAGTAAATGATTATTCAAACAATATATACACCCTGCAAATATGGTGTATGGGCTATAAAGTGGGACTGAAAATTAAGGTTGAACATGTTAGACAACTTTAGTCAAAACTATTGACTTCCATGGGTCCAGGACTTCCCTGCCCCCGACTTAGATGAGAATTTTTCAAACTGGGAGTCCTGACCCAAAAGGGTGGCACACTATCATTGTAGAGGGGTCATGAGAGTAGTGGCTTCTGGCCAGGGCCCTATCTTTGAAGGCAGTGCCACAGAAATAAGTGTAATATGTATCATCACTTCTGGGGAGGCAGTGGTCATCACAGCCTGAATATTTTCAAAAGTGGTCCCAGAAAAAACAGTTTGAAAACCCCTGCACTAGATAATCCAAAGCCTCTTGTTTCTATTGCAATTTGCTGATATTAGATCACTTGGGTTCTTAACTCACTTTTTTGGGAGTTATTTGGAAAATAAAATGAAAATGTACATGCTTCATCTAAATCATTTCTCTGGTATAGGGCTGAAGCTGTATACCAATTTGGTGGTCCTAGCTCTTGAACAGACAGACATATATGCTCTCTCAAACGTTTATATTGTGGTAAGTGACCTTCTTTCCCTTCTCAGCCTCTGCACTTATCCCCATAGCAAGATGGGCCTCAAATAAAGCAACCCTATCTGTCATAGCCAGGCACCCAGCCTTCCTCTTAAAAAAAGTTT